CCTAAACACCCTCAAAGCCTAAGGGAACCTGCCAGCTCTCAAAGACCCAGAAGTCCCCTAAACCCACACTCCAGGTAAATTCTACTGCTCTTAAAGGCCCAGGTCAAATCCCACTTTTCCAAGACACCGTCTAGACCTCCCCAGCCCACAGTCAGTAGCTTGAAGAGCTGGCCTCTGCTTCCTACCACTGCAGATGACCCTGGTGTCCCCAAGAGCTTTGGCAGCCTGGAATCCACGGAATGGCATGAGAGTTGTGTTGGAAAGTGCCATTGGGCATTTTTTCTCAGGAGCATGTCCAGAGCAAGCTTAAAAACCACTCAACCACCACCCTGCCTTCAGTTCTGGAAACTAATGACATTAAATGCTAATGTTCCTTGGAGCAAGCCTGCCAGATTTAGCAAATGAAAATATTATATGGGACCTGCCTACTAAAGCATGATCTGTTGTATCTTTGAAATTCAAATTTAACTGGACATCCTGTACTTGATCTGCAACCCTGTCCTTGAATTTTTTGTGAATATTAATCTTATTTCTCTGCTACGCTGAATGTAATCATCTGGAGGGCAAAGGGCTTCATTACTTCTCCACAGAACTTAGCACTCAACTTTTATTGCTAAATACTGATTTATTTTTGTGGTCCAACAGAAACATTATGGAACATTCTTGATTTGGGGCCAATATAAAACTCAGTAGCTATATTATGATTATACAGATGTGGCTTTTGCTAGAAGGAAACAAATGCCCATCATACCTAGTAAACCAATTTTGATCATCTCTGCTATTTGCTAGATTCAAACATGTCGAAACGCAACTCCCCAAATATCTTTGTTTAAAAAAATTCTCTTAGAAGGAATCTGGAAAAATTCAAAATATACCAAAATTATTCTTAAACATCACAGGGACATCTTCAGATAATTTGATCGAGAAATCACTGAAGGTATTTTTTAAAAAATGCAGTTGTCTGGGTCCAATCTCAGCCCTATTAATTCAGAACTGTGCAGAATGGCTCCAAGCAATCTTGAGTTTTTAAAAAGTCTTCCAGATGATTTTTATGCTCTCTAAAGTTTAAGAACTGCTTTTTTATGGGATGTAATACTCTAGCAAGGATTGCTCTCTAAGTTAGAGAAGAAAAGTTATTTTAGTCCTTTAAAAACAAGCCATCATCATTTGGAGTTCAAAATACCAATCATCTTTTCATTGTATCTTGAATCTATCACACTAGTGTTAAAATGCTCAGCACTGTAGATTTTCCATTTGGAGCTCCCAAGCATTTAAACAGAATTGGGAAACTAATGATAGGTATTAAAAGGCTGCCTGATGGATCATTAAAATAGTAAATGAGTCACTGAAATTTATAGAGGCCATACAAAATTTCAAAATAAGATTATCTGAAGTAGGATGTTCTGCTGTGTACTAATGCTGCTACCGAGGATTTGTCTGGGAAACGTAAGCCTCTTTGGAATTTCTGAAAAAAAGCATCATTGCCCAAAGCTTCCTACCCCTGTTGACTAGGTGGTCCCCAAGACTTTTGACCTCTTGGTAAAAAGAGTATAGGGGTCAGGTGGCACAGGTTCCATACTTTAGGTTTAGAGCTGAAACTTTTTCCAAGCTTCAGTGTCCTCATCAATGAAACGAGGACTTGGACCATTAACTGGTCTCTCAAGTATCTTTGAAACCCAAGTTTCTATTATTATTCTGAGGATAAATTTTCTCTGCTGTAAAATATTGGGGTTGGACTATGTACAGTGTCTCCATTTGTCCTGTGTGTCCTGGGGCAGGCCCACTGTCTCTGTTACTATACTTGGATCCCATTCACAATTCAGGCTCACTCTCTCTAAGAGTGTAAGATAATGAGACTTTGTTTAGGTTATCCCAAGGAAGGGAGGATATCTTGGCCATTAGCACATGCCCTTATAAGAGAGAATTATTCATTCAACGTATACATATTGATCACCAACTATGTGCTCTGTGTCACCATGCTAGGCCCTGGGGAGACAATAATGAAAAAGTTAGACAAAAAGAGCTCTGGCGTCATGCAGCTTAAAATCTGATGGGGCAGTGTTGGGGGAGAAGATAAAAACCACCACCACACGTAAACTGACATAGAAATAACATAACTGCAGTTTGTAATCAGTGTTATGAGGGGTCACTAAGGGCTGAGACAGAGAATAGCAGTGTGAACAATGTTCAGGGAAAGCCTTGTGGAGGAGGTGATATTTACTTGGAGCTAAAGGAAAAGAAAAGATAAGGGAGGGGGTTGGAGGAAAGGGCAGGGGACAGAACATTCTGGAATCTCATGGGAGGAGCGGTTTATATGCTTGGCAACCCAAATCCTGGAACAGTCTCTTTCACCTCAGAGAGATAATTTAATCTACAGCAGAGAAAGGAAATCAGAGGCCCAGTACGTTTAAGGGACTTATCTGAGATCAATTGGCCAGTTAGTTAATGGGAAAGCTCTCCCCTGCTTCAGCCCAGAATGGGAACCCTTCTTAGGGACCACAACACAGCAGGCAGTGCCCGAATGCCTTGGTTTAAGTCCTGGCTCTCTGACTCATAAACGCCTCGTCCTTGCACACCAGGGCTTCTTTGAGACTCCGAGTCCTCTTCTGAGAAACATAGATGCCATCCAGCCCATCAGATTGTGACAGGGATTTACGAGAGAATGTGGCACAGTGCCTGGCATATCATAGCTGCCCAATAAATACAAACTCTTTTGATTTTTCCCCTGGCGCACTTTCACCCATACCAAGCTGCTGGGAAAGAAGTAGGGCGGCAGTTAAGCTACTTGGATAAATGGAGTGGTGGCAGAGACAGGTTCTAGAATACTGGGCTGGGGCCTATTTAGCAGCTACCACCTGAGAGAAGTGAGTGGAGGAAATGAGAAGACACGGCTTTTGAAAGTGGGAAGGGGTCAAAGGAAAACATCCCCAACGTCATGGTCATGGCTTTGCTTACTGCTTAATCTGCTAGTTCTGAATCTAGAATCGTCTTCATAAAACAGAAAAGACCATCCATAGCAATATTTATACTTAAAATTAGCATTCAAGACACAGGTTTTACTCTAGAAGACCAGCAAACAGAAGAATGATACATTTTATTATTAAAAACATGCAAAGAGAAAAATGTTAACATGCCACTCAATCCACTGGGAACTAACTAATTCAATTATCTGCAGGATATTAAAATGATTGCCGGTGTCAAGGATGCTTAAAAACCAAGCCCATGATATTGGAAGAATGAATAATTTATCCAAATAACTATGAAGATTTTCTTCGTCGTCTGTGAACAAAACCACAGAGTGAACTTCAGCCTTAAAATACCAAGAGGTGTATTTCATGGATTAAAGCGGACAGCTATAAGGCCATCCCACAAAACCTGTTTGCCCTCCCGGTAGACTTACCCAAAACGTAAGGGAATAGTTATGGTTCAGGCACACTTGAACCAGGGCTGAATATTTCTTAGTTTCAGAAGTTCACTGGGTCCCTTTTCCCCCAACCATAAGGTAAATGCCATTCCATATATAGCTTTTTGAAACGCTGCTTACTTTATGATTCTCTGCTGGTGGTGCCTTATGGGAGAAATTTTATTTCAAAGTTTCATAGGATGAGAATTGAACTCATTATTTTACTCCAAACTCATTGTTTAATTGACAGGAAACATGCATTCTAAATCATCTTGTATGCATGGCAGAAGCAGCTACATAAATTTAACAATGGGTGGATTATTACTGTTTAGCATATTTATGGAATTTTATATTGGGGAAGCATTTTACAAATCTTTTATTAGTTAATCCTTACACTTCTGAGTGAGTCTGACAGGTGGTAAACAATGCCTTGGGTTTTAAATTGCCAATACGTGAAAACTTTAATGGGGAGGAAAATCTACGGCATTCCTCCGTGCTCCCAAATTTGCCAAGAGCACATTTCTGGTACCTTTTTCCTCTCACCAGAGACCAAAACTAGAGGCCTGGGAAGTGGGGTTGCACCCACCTGAAACACTAGAAATAAAAAGGTCATCTACTGGTCGGTGTGCCAGGTCAAGTGGCCAACACCAGGAGAAACCTCGAAGATGCCAAGGTGATGTGACAGGATTGCCAACAAAGACACATCCCAATCATATAGCACATAAAAAGGCACATAAGGAAGCAAATTTTTAAAAACTACACAGTAAAGTTAGTTTTCAATTCTAACAATGCCACACCCACTGGACTCACTATCTAATGACATCACTTGTTACTAATTCTCTTAACATGCATACACGTATATTGAAAAAGAAAACCGAATTCAAACTAAGAGAATTTGTTTTTGTTTTCCAAAAACTCACAAGTTTTAAAAACTAAGCTCCCTTGAACACCCTGTCCAAACTTTTTAGGATCCTGCAATCTAGCCCTCTTTCAGAAAGGTGTTGGAGAGCAGGGCAAAGAAAGCCTCTGTGGATCAAAGTCTCATCCTTGACCCAAACCTTTTTACAGCCGGGGGCTTTCAGAACTAACAAACCAAGAAAAATCAATCACGCGTCACCTGAGGGCCGGACCGAGGAGGAGCCGCAGATGTTGAGTGTACTATCTGAAGACCCCAGTGTGGACACGTCCTGCCCGGATTCTAATCTCTTCTTATTGACAGTCACTCTATCCCTCTAATCCCTCAGGCCCCCGCCTCCGCCTGCTAAGTGTGTGTGTGTGTGTGTGTGTGTGTTGGGGGACAGGTAGGTGGGAGGGTACAGAAAACACCCAAGGTATTTTGGAAGCAAGCCCCCTCTGGGGCCCTGTGCTTTCTCAGTGCAGCTGGGCAGCTGTCAGGAGGTCAGTGTAAGAGAACCAGGTCACCACCCTTCAGGGGCTCAAAGGGATGCTCCAAGCCCTAGAGTCCCATGAGCCTGCGGATATAGGGGGTGCGCAGAGAGAACCCCCATAGTCCCGCCCACCCTGGCGCGTCCCCGTCTCCCCCTGCCCCTGCCGAGCCCGCCCCGTCCCGCCCCGCCCGGCGCCGCGCAGAGTCTACCTGGGGACGCCGGAGGCACGGGCAGCGGCTCCTGGTCCAGCCGGGCGACGGGCCGGCGAGCGGGTTTTGTCCAGCCGGGGGGCGGGGGCTGGGGAGCGGGGGGAGAGCCGCCGAGCCCCCGCGCCGAGCCCGCCCTCTCCCACCCGGGCGTTCCCCACCGCCCGCCACCGCCCCGGCCGGCCGCCTCCCTCCCCAGCCTCGCGGCCTGCTCGGGAGTCATCTGGGCGGGGCCCTGGAGCCAAAGCCGGTCCCCGGAGCCCTGGGCCGCCTCCCCCGGTCCCTCCCGCGGAGCTGTCGCCTTACTCGCGTCGGCCTCCCTCCAGGGCTCCCCAGCCTTTGTGGCCCCAGTGCCTGTGACCCCGCCCTTCTGCGCGCCTGGCCGGAGGGACCGCGCCCCAGTGTCGGCGTCCCCACGACCCACCTCTGGGACTCGCGGGGGGCGTCCTCAGAGGGGCGACTCCTACAAATGAAGGCCAAGTCTGGGGAAAGTTTCTGGCGGTGTCAAGGGTCAGCTTTTTCTTGTAGGGACGTTCTCTAGCCAAGAGATGGAAACTCCAGCGATTTTGTCCGCGGGTTCTGCTGACATCACAAACCACACATCACTCCGTGTCATCTTGTGTAGTTTGTACAAAGACTCTCCATCATTACTGCAGCCTTCTGCACGTTCGCCTTTCAAAGCCCCAGCAGGTGAAAGGAACTTGACTAAATTAGTACTAGAAACCAGTGCATTACATGTCAGCTCTGCCCCAGGATCTAAAGATGGTCACCTCTGAATAGTTCAGACTTTCCAGTGCCAGGATTACCTAGGGGTCACTACCTTGCACCTTCACATGTCCAGACCTTTAGGCCTCTTTGCTCTTCTTTTTCGTCTCCCCCACGATATGAAGGAGCGGTGAGAATGAAACACAGCAAAATCAATTTGAAGAGCTTTTAACAGCTGGTATAAAAGTTTATGGGAGAGGCAGTCTGCAATCATTGAAAATAAGATTTGAAAATTATCTGTAGACCTCACTCTGCAGTTTTATGGTTTTGCTTGAGTTTGAATAATGGAGGCCTCGTGGTATCTATTATTTTTAGCAGAAGTAATACTTTCCTAAGAATTATTAAATAGATTAAATGTATAATATCGTTATGGTGTCAGATCCCGGTAAAGCTCTACTACAGAAGAAAGTGTTAATCAGCTAATAACATAGGAGGCACAACATCTTTTTGGAGTAGTAAAACGGGTTTTTTCTTAGAGTTTAAACAGTATGAAAGGATAAGCTTAGAAATATTATAGAATCTTTATAGACCTATCTGCCATCTAATGAAAATATTTCCTTTTCGGCATCCCTATTTACTTCAACCGTTTCTAGTAAGATATAATTTCAAGATCGCTCAAAGCTTTGGACATCGCTCATCCTTTAAAGTATTTAATGAGGCCTCAAAAAGTGCCTGGCATTGAGCTTGGTGCAGGTGATGGAAGGTGAACTAGACAGATGGATACAAGGCTCACATGCTAATGGAGGAGAGACAGCTGCTAAATAGAGAGCGCAGACATAATGAATTGCCCCTGTGAATGGTTGTATGCGGACGTATGGAGTGCTAGGAGAAGACACCCTCCAAGTAGTCTGACTTTTAGATTCCTCTTTTGTTTTGAACCCTAGAATTATTTCAATGCTGCAAAGATTTCTTTTTGCTTTCATATCTCATCTCCAATCCATCCGGAAACCCTCATAGTTCCATCTTCAGCAGGTCTTCCAGATCTAACCTCCCTCTCTGCTGCTCTTCTAAACCAGCATTGCCCACTGGGATTTGTGAAAAAGCCTCTAAACTTATCTTCCTGCTCTCAATCTTGCCCCTATGGTGTATTAGCCCTGTAGAATTTAGGGTGACCCTTTGAAAGTACTTGTGTTAGCACATGTCAATCCTCCACTCAGAAACCACCGAATGGCTTCCCATTGGGACAACACAAACTTGACCCTAGCCACCAAGGCCTTACCTGCCTGCCACCTCACATCTCTTACCTCTTCGCCGCCGCTCTCCCCTCCCACACCCTGTCATCACCTTTCTGGGCTTTCTGCTCTTCTTTTAACGCTCATGCTGCTGCCTCTTGGTCTTTGAGCCTGGAATCTCTTCCTGTAAATATTTAGAGGCTTGCTCCTCAGTTAAGTCAGATATTTACTCCCTTGTCCTCTTATCAGAGAGGCAGTCCCTGACCACCTATTCTAAAATAGCCCCCTCCCTCAACCCTCTCACTCTCTCTTTAATCCACTTAAGTTTTCCCTTTAATATGAATGTGCACACCTGCATGTGCACACGTGCACACATATACACATGCACACATTAATTGTCTGCTGTCTTCCCCCTAGAATGAGAACAGCAACTTGGTTATAGTTCCAGGCACATAGAAGGCACTCAATAAATATTTGTTGAAAGAAAGTATATAAATTATATTATGGCCTGAATGTTCGCATCTCCTCCAAATTCATATGTTGAATCTCTAACCTCTAATGTGACTATGTTTGGAGATGTGTCTTTACGGGAGTAATTAAAACCAAAACAGATCATAAGCACAGGGCCCTGATCCCATTGGATTAGTGTCCTTATAAGAGACACCAGAGATTCATTCCAGTTCTGAGGAAAGGCCATGAGAAGGCAGCTGTCTGCAGGCCAAGGAGAGAACTGTCACCAGGAACCAAATCTGTAGGCACCTTGACCTTGGACTTCCCAACTTGTAGAACTGTGAGAAATAAATTTTTGTTGTTTAAGCCATCCCATCTCTAGTATTTTGTCATGGCAGCCTGAGCAATCTAAGACAAATGACAAAGAATGTAAAAGAAGGAGTTTAGATAAAATCTGTTCTCATACAGTATGGCCAATCATTTCAAGATCACTAATGTGTGAATAGTGTGATGTTCTGACCTTTAACCAAAGAAGAAACTTTCCAGCACCTCCCAGAATGATTGAGCCTTGAAGATTACTCTATCTGGACCTGAGAATAGAATAAATGTTCAAGGTAAACATGGGGCTGGCCCCGTGGCCGAGTGGTTAGGGTCGCGCGCTCCGCTGCAGGCGGCCCAGTGTTTCGTCGGTTCGGATCCCGGGCGCGGACATGGCACTGCTCGTCGGACCACGCTGAGGCAGCGTCCCACATGCCACAGCTAGAGGAACCCACAACGAAGAATACACAACTATGTACCAGGGGGGCTTTGGGGAGAAAAAGGAAAAAATAAAATCTTTAAAAAAAAAAAAAAAAAAAAAAATGTTCAAGGTAAACAAATGTCGTTTACAACTTTTTTTTTGTTGTTTGTTTCTGAGGTCACAAATGATTAAAGCTCAGAGGACAAAGAATGATCCAGTCACCATGGCAAACAGTGCTGTTTCAAGAGGGCTCAGCCTCAAAACTCCATAAAAATTCCCTACTGGTCAAACTGAAGGATTCATGTGCTGCTCTGTGCCTAGAACATAACCAGGTCCATTGATATTCCAGAAAATTATCAGATGCTTCAGATAACAGCTTTGGCTACCTATCACACCTGTTTATACCCTTGCTCTCCAAAGTGGGCTGTGGGGAATAAATATTAGAACTTCCACTTACGTTTTATATTTTAGGGAAACCTAAGCTCTTGCACATGTATACAGATTGATACTGGCACACTCACTTTTCCATAGGTCAGTTGGTTTCCTGTCCACAGAGATCTCACAGAGGTGTCCAGAGGAAATACTGGGGGATCCACAGTGTGGAGGTGCTAAGTGTGGTCCCTATACTTCTTTCATTTCCGTTGTGTTGTGTCTTATTGATTTTGTGTGTATTCACTTAAGGAATTAAGGATTCCATTATCCAGTTTTAACCAAACAAGCAGTCACAAAATGGAAAAGTGGCTTAAAAGAATTTCTGCAAAGAAGATAATGCTAATAATACAAGCATCAGCAAACAGCAGAAAATGGGTGGAATGGAAGCTTTTCCTACTGTTAGAATTCTTAGCCATATGGGAGGTTAACAATGCTGATGAGCCATTTAATTCACTCTTACAAGAAGTCAACTTCTCCCTCCCACTGAAATAATCAAGAAGCCATATGAAATATGGATTTTTATCCGTTTTCATTAATAGTGAGCCATGGCTTAAGTATATATTGTACTTTGAGATAAAGGCTAATGATAATACGAAGCATTGTGGCTAGAAAGAAAATCACGAATATCATCTAGTTCTTCATGAAGTGATTTTTAACAATTTTATTTGTGTGTTTTATAATGTATAATGCTATATATAATAACTAAGCGATCTGATTAATAAAGGAATAAATGAATAAATATTGGGGATATATACGGAACATTTTTAACTGATGGAGTCTCCTATCAGAAAAGTTTGGAAGAACTGATTTACATAACCAAAGGTTAGAACCCACCCAAAATCCTTGTCCTGAAAGAAAAGAACAAACATAACCAACTTTTTAATAGGTATTTATAATAGGTATTTCAGAGAATACTTATTCAGGGTATGGATTATATAGCACCTTTTTATGTCTTTCTTCTCTGTTCTTTTGACCATTCCACAATTTCAAGGGAAATAAGAGGAGAAGAAACCTTGTTAATTTACCGTGATAGTTGGCAAAGGAGGTTAAACTTGCCAAATAAAAGGAGTTTGGGGTCTCCTTAGGGGTGTTGGGTACCCTGATCTTCTAGTTTTGAATTACTGCAGATCATAATAGTATGACTTTATATTCACCCATCTTCTTTAAATTAGTTGATTTTTCTCTTAGGATAGAATGTACCCGTAGAGCCTAAGATCTGAAGTAATATTAAAACACGGTCAAACTCTTGTCACACATAAGAAAAGTTTGCCCTATTTTTTTCCAGCTCTCAAAAAACTCCCTCCTCCCACTCTAAAACTTACCATGTTTATCTGCAGGATGAATTGATAAATTTTCTATTATTCAACAACAAACATTGTGTAACAATTGATATCAGTGTATCTTGAGTAGAAGGACTGTCTGTTTACTTCTGTTTTGTTAGGTACGATCATGTCATAACATTTGGAGGGTGAAGGGAGACGTGACTATGGTTCATTGTCTGATTGAAAGAGCCGAGGTTCAGAATCCTAGAGGGATTTCCTGCTGTTAGACTTCTGGATCCTGGCAGAGCTGAGACCAGACTCCAAACCTGCGGACTTCTCATTCTGAGTACTTTCCACTGTGACATGCTACCTCAAAGTGAGCCTGGTGAGAATATTGTTTTTCTTTCTAAGTATGACTTAGAGCAAGAAGGACCCCTTGGACTGTGCCTCACTGTACCCATACACATGTGTGTCAGGCAGCCCACGATGTTTGAATTTCCCAAAGACCCCCCTACCCTAAAGGGTGCCCATGAAGAACAGGGATGGTTCTGTCCTAGAGATTTCTTTGTTTTGCAGTTAACAAAGGGTGAGAAGAGACTTGATAGCTTACTTTATTTTTCTTCTTGGGGTCTCAGAATTTAACTCACCACTAAGCCACTGCTGGCTACGGTTTTCCCAATTAGAACTTTAACCTTCACACAAAAAATATTATTTTGGTAATACAGTCCTACTGAAAAAATAGTAATAAAGATATCAGTAAGACACAGGCTGGCAGAGTACTTTCAACTGGTTGGTGGGGATTATTAGTTACTACTTAGCAATAGTATCTAATAGTTTGGAGAAATTCCTCAAGGAGAGTGATGGAAACCTAATTTCCTGAGGTACATAAAATAGGACCAAATAAAATAGTGAAGAGTGTATTGTAGAGATAATCTAGTTGCCCAGATGGCCTTTCCTTAGTTACAGCATTTATTGTTCTCGAAATGTGTGTGTTCTTTATTCTTTTATGACAAAATAAAGATTTTCTTATTTTATTGGCATGAAGTTACCCTGCAGTTTAGTTGTTAAAATATGCTGAATATTTTCTCTTTGTTACTTCTAGGACTCTCATATTTATTCTGGAACTCACCTTAGTTCCTATGTTTTCCCCCTCCTTTTGAATTTCTGGCTCTAGACTCCAGATTTTACACTTATTAGTTGTATTTCTCAGGATATTCCTGATAAGCTAGTTAATACTAGATTTTATGGCATGGATCAAAGGAAAAAATTGCTAAGGTTTGGTTATAATCTTCTCTCTCTACCTTTGATACGCCCCCTACCCCAAACTTTGGAAGCTGCAATAGGATAGAATTCTTCTGAAGGGAACTTGGAAATGTATCTGTAGTTCCTATAAATGTGACTTGTAAATTCTGTAGCCAAATCCCCATGGATTGTGCAAAGGTTCCATTTAATTTTCTTATTGACAAAGTCTCAGAATTTTTAAAGTTCATATTTTTACAGTATTGTACCTTTTGGATTTTCTTGCAAAAGAAAACATTGAATGGTAAAATGACATCTCTATAACATCTATCCAGATAGATTTTCTACAAGTGGCCCCATATGTTTTCCTTCCATAAAAGAAGACAAGTCCTTGGTTATAAAGATTCTGTCTGTTTCTCTTTCTCAATATGCACTGCTTAATAAAATTATTTTATGGTTGTAATGTGCTCATTTTCAACCTATAACATACTTTGTGAGTAGAAACTGTAGAGCTGGAATTTATTGAATTCTGACACCATAATTGGAGAATGCCAATAGGAGGGAGGATATTTCCTTTGGGGGGATATCCCCAGCCTCAAGCCATGACACCCATAGATATCATTAAATAATAGTAAATTAAAATCTGATCCTTCATCTCCCACGATCTCCGTTATTTCCTGGGATGGAATTGATTGCTGAGGATGGAGAAAATCCATTTGCTTTTATAGTTGTTGTGCCTTGGTCTTTTGGGGTAACTTATGCATTCCTATCTTTACAGTCTCTCTCTAATTGTTAAAAATGATGCATTATCTGTGCTTTAAAAAATTATTTTGTAATCATGTCACATTCCTCCTCAAAATGCGGCTCCCTTTGCACCTAGAATTAAACTCTAACTCTTAGCACAGGCACCTAGACCCTGTAGGACATGGCTCTGCCTACCTCTTTCATCTCTTCTGCAAACCTTCCCCTGCTCACTAAACTCAGTGA